GTGGCCTTCAATGTCTCCAGCGAGATGAAATTCTGCCTTGTCCTCAGAAGCTAATCAAAGGACTCCTGCGCTGCATTGTGTTTCATGCTCGAAGGAGTCCCACTGGGACTCTTGAGCACTGTTAGCTGATCAAAGATTGTTGCAGCCAATGTACGTACACACTCCTCTTCCCCTAATCTGTCCAAATGAAACAACTTGGAGTGGCCACTGGAGAGATGAGGGGATTTGAATTGGACCCCCAGTGTCGCCACAACTAATCTATGGTCAGTGCCACAGAATGCAATACTCCTGTAATCCCTGCAGTTCTGAAGGATCCTCCAGTGAGTGCTAACAAGGATGTGGTCGATCTCCTTGGCTAAAATACTTGTATTGCTGTACCAAGTCCAGCAATGTAGGTTGGAGCACTGATACCAGAAGCCAGAAATCCTTATTCTCTGGGACCTAGTAAAGCCCCGGAGAAGGAGGCTGTTCTCACTACTGAGATCAGCTCCCAAGTCTTGGGAACTGACAGACATCTTGTAGCCAGCTTGATACAGCTGGAATCTGCACTGAAGTCACCCGGTACAATGCAAATGATTCGCCAGGGACATTTGTCTACCACAGATGTGAGTTTGGCATAGAACGCCTCTTTCACATCGAGTTTACATACATTGGTAGGAAAATACATAGCAATAAAAGGCAAAGACAAAAACATACTTCAGTCTCACCGCCATAACATGCTCATAAACCAGAGACTTCTACTACTGAAGGTAGAAATCGGCTAGAGATGGCAATGGCTACTCCCTGGAGATGGTGACCTTCGCCCCAGCCTGACCGGTAACAGGTGTACCCACCACTACTGATCATGCTGCTGCCAAGTCACCCCCACCTAATTCCCAGCCAGTCCCTCGATAGCAGGGTTATCTATCACCCTGCAGAGCATGAGGAGCAACTGTTGCAAGACATGATTTCATACCCACTTCCAAACTAAGATACTTTGTTGAGCAACAATCCAGCAACTCTTCTGTTGAACAACAATCCAATTTGTTTCGCAGTTGCTGCTCGAGAGTTCCGAAACACGATTTTGCGTGCTTCTGTGTTTCCCACTGGATATGGGAAACAAGATACAAAGTTTCACAACACGACTTATCACTATCTGTTGCCATTGGCCAGTCGTCTGCTTAGTTTTGCTCGGTTGTTGGGTTGCTGCATGCCATCGACTACAGGAAAATACACTACATTATTTAAGGAGGTGATGCACTTACAGGAAAAAGGAAAATGACTGATAATTTAGAAAAAGTATCTTATTAGGAAGGAGTGTTGACTGATTTAGCTAAGAGCTGGTAGAATGATAAAGATGAAAAATACCTTTCACGCAGCTGCATTACCTCATCTAGCTTAATGCTGTCAGAAATCTTCGTATTTTGTATTTTGAAAATAATCGGTACATAATGTCAAGAAGCAATTTATTTTGAATTAATGTGCTGTCGGCCTCCTCCGCCACTATAATAACATCACTGTAACTTAAAAGTACAACTGGAGATTGTGACCATCTACCATTCTCAGCATTTCCTCGAACATTAAGAATGTACCATAGAGAACCAAGCAGAATAAATTGACAAGCACCTTATTCTGGCAGCACATTCACGCTAAGTCATCTACCTCTTGTCTGTACGTACTGTATATTGAAATGCAAATACTAGGCTCTAAGCTATGGGAGTTACTTTCTGCAAGTAGCATTTTACCAGGTTCAAAATTTGGACAACAGAGTAGATGCTTGGACTGATCGAGGTATTCAATTCCACTCCCAGTTTGTGGGAGGTTAATTAAGTACAGTTTGGTCTTTATTCCGATACAATACATCTTAGTCTGGACTAGGTTTTGCTACAAACCAGCCCATAAAAAATCAAAACTAATGTTCTTAGTTCTAAGGATGTGACCAATAGTTTGCATTTTCCTTCAGTTGATGGTTTTAACAATCTTTCTTTGCGGTCCATCTTTTCTAAAATCTATTCATTCGTATTCTGAGTCCAGTTAATGCGCAGTAAGCGACGGTAGCAAACAAAGCAATGCTGAAAACTAGTGACTGGAGCAATCTTTTCTTCTTTGTAATAAAGATGCTTCTATCCATGTAATAGTGAGTACAACCACTGCCATTCTTGTAATGCACAATTGTCTAATGATTTTTGTTGTGTCGCCATAGTTATTACTGATAGTTATTATTCTGAACGTTAGATTTGCATATTTTCATGACTATGCTTTTACTTGGATTCAGTGAAAGTCCAGATTGGATACTGCTATCTTTATTTCTATCAACTAATTCGTGTTCTTTTATGCTTCCTGCTACTAAGACTAAATCATCAAATACCTTAAGTTAATTATCATTTTGCCACCAGCTTTAATACTTCACATAAAGCCATCAAGTGCATTTCTCATGATTTGCTCCGAGTAGATATTGAATAAACTAGGAGAAAGAATACAGCCCTGGTATATGTATATATGTATGCTATTTATCTACCTA